GCGGCTTCGACTGCAGTCCCAGCACATTTAGAGCGATTTTTCTACAATTATTGATCGCCCGATGCCATGAAAATGTTCACAATGGAATACTGAAGTGAACTTCGTAGTATATCGGATACATTCTGAATACGCTCGAAATTTCGATACGATGATGTAACTCGGTGATTCGATAACAGTTTCTGCCGGGGAACCGTGTAACGGGTGTATTTTAAATATACTCCGTGAAACGATGGGAGATATTAGCGAGGTTTCCATTTAAAAAAAAATTTGTTCAACGTACGGGGGTGGTCCCAGAAGTACCTGACTTGAGGTACAGATGGCGATTATTGTATTAAAAAAATGACTATGGTCGGAAGTACCAATCTTACGAAGCTCAAGTTTCAAGTTTGAAGACGCTACATTGTTTAGTGCTTGTTTGACAGCCATTAATATTGAACGCTCTCAGTGAATTTGTAGACATGGAAAACAATTGGTCACCGTTATGTGATACAATATTTTCATTTGAAAGGTCTCAGCTAAACCAATATCAAAATTGAGCTAGATTCTATTTTAGGGGAGTCCGCTTTTTCATTTACAACAATAAAATATTGGGTAGCAAAATTTAAACGAGGCCGTACGAGCTGCCAAGACAAACACTGCAGTGGTCGACCAAATGAAGTGACCACACCGAAAATGGCGAAGAAAATCCACAAAACGGTATTGGACGATCGTCGACTGAAAGTGTGCGAGCTTGCAGACATGGTAGGCATTTCAAAAAGTGCTGTACAACGCATATTGACTACAAATTTGGATATGAGAAAGCTGTGCGCACGATGGGTACCGCGCTTGCTCACAATGGAACAAAAACAATGTCGCGAGAATGTTTCACAGGAATAAAGCCGAGTTTTTGCGTCGATTCATAACCATGGATGAAACCTGGGTCCATCACTTCACACCTAAGTCGATGGAACAGCCGAAACAATGGACTGTAAGGGAAGAACCAGCTCCAAAGAAAGTGAAGACAGTTCCAACTGCTGGCAAGGTCATGGCGTCAATTTTTTTAGATCTGTGTGGAATAATTTTCATTGATTATCTTGAAAAAGGAAAAACAATCAACGACGAGTATTATGCGAATTTATTGCAGCGTTTGAGTGATAAAATCAAGGAAAAACGGCCGCATTTGACGAAAAAGAAAGTGTTGTTTCACCAAGCCAATGCACCAGTTCACACATCCGTTATCGCGATGGCCAAAATCCAGGAGTTAAAATTCGAGTTGCTCCCTCACGCACCCTATTCGCCAGATTTAGCTCCCTCGGATTATTTTCTCTTTCCAAACTTGAAAAAATGTCTCGGTGGTTAAAGATTTTCCAATAATGAGGAGACGGAGTCTGCGGTTAATGGCTATTTTAAGGAGCTCAATAGTTCTCACTATAAACAGGATATCGAAGCTATTGAACAACGCTGGGAAAAGTGTACCCAGCTAAAAGTTGATTACGCTGAAAAATAAAAATGTTTGTTCCCAAATTTCTTGTATTTTTTTGGTTAGGTCGGATACTTCTGGGACCACCCTCGTAATTATAGAGACTCGTTAAAGCTGGTATTTATTCCTGCACTCAATATGATTTACCGAAAACATAAATTTCAGTTGCTGACGTTGGGCGGGTAATCTGCCATAATGAGAACTTTGTTAGAATGGGCTATTGTTGCGGGTGGCTCGTGATCGAGTGACTTAGAAATTAAAAAATGCTGCTAACCCTTTGATGTGAAGTCGTTTAATATAGGTCAAACTGTAGGAGGCTAACGGGCCTCTTTAGCTTGGAGAGGACAGGGTACAGGGGTTTTCCCATGACGTAGGCCGCTTTGTTCCTTACGGGAAAAGGGAAAGCGGCAAAGAGATGGCAAGGCCAAGCAGGCCAGGTCATCAGTTAGTTACAGCAACGACTTTGACGAGGATTGTCACGTACACTCGCGCGCGCCCGACTAATATATATCATTTATTTAAAATATATATCATCGTTATTAAGACTGGGAGGGTTTATTTCGGGCTCCTGACAACGTCCTGTTTCCCTCCATACCCTCCCACAAAACGTAACTTTAAAGTATTATTGATTAACGTGAAAGAATCACTTCGTCAGATACACAGAATGAAAAAAACTGCGAGGCTACTCGTTGCCGGAGCTTGCTTTCGGAAAACAGGTTAATTGTTTGCCTAAGTAGGTCGGGTACTATGAGACGCTAGGATCTGAGTACAGGTGCTACGACCACAAGGACTTGTATAAAGTTGAATTCGTACAGAATGGATAACATTAAAATTTGGATAAAATTTTATTTACGTATAATGCGTGGAATAATTTTATTCGCAATTTCGATGCGCAGAAATCTTCGATTATAAGCAACAGCTATATGCAAAACACACGCAGGCAACGAATAACAATGAATAAATTAATGACATTAACTGTCCTTCCGATTGTCTGATTTTATATTCAACAGTCAGGCGTATAATGAATTGTTAAATATTTGCATTATTCCAGGCTCGATGATTTTTTGAATTCGTCATCGCGTATTATAATATTAAAAGCATACGAGATATTCTGCTATTTTGAATGTACGAAATGAATATTAGTATCCAAAAATTGATCGTTAATGTTTAATTAGGTATAAGTAACTAAACTGCACGTCGATAATAGACCTACGTACAGAGGAAGATTTTACAGGAAACCCGTGAATTCAAATGTTTAAAGAGTAAGGGTTTAGTTAACAGATCGTTAATTCGAAAACTCCGAAGTTATTTCGGCGAGATTCAATAACTGCTTAAAGCGTAAATAATGCATTGAAATCTTCCAAAGCCAGCAAACTGTACCTAGCAATATCAATTAATGGCTATTCGATATCGCTGCAGTAAAAATTCAGTATCGAACGTTGTTCTCGCGACGGTTATACCCCTCCGGGATTAATTAAATATAGTTACCCTAGGGCGCGACGGTAGCGTCTCTTATTTGCGGTGATTCCATATCGAAGGAGTACGAAGTTTCGGTAGACGAGAACTAGCGTGAGAGAAGTTACTTTACAATGGAACCCCGTGTACTGGATGCCACGCGAAACGGTCCATTTCATTGCCCCGGGTTGTATAGCAGCACAGTCGTTAACGCAATGCGAAAACACGGCCGTTTCCTAGTTTATTTCAGCTTTTAACGGAAACAACAACAGTAACAGCAATAATGCTAGCGTTCCGCTAGATGTTCACCGCACCGCGAGTGTGTGATTTTCAACATCGAGAGAGAGAGAGATCGAGCCTTCTATCACGCTAATCCCCCGAGATTTCGCGGCTCTCACTACTGATTTCAAGCTGGATTACGGTCAGCGCTGAACGACCACTCACTTTTCTCGTTACGAATGGGAATATCTGGTCATCGGTATCAAATGTAACTTCATATTTGAGGAATACTTCAAGAACGGGCCAAAAACACTCTGAAGTACAGTTATCGATGACTTGCTTTTAGAACGTTGACTATAAAAATTGCGAAAAGTGACAGAATGTAATCTAAAATACACTTATTTTTAATTCTATGAATTTTTGTTTTCACTCCAAATTTTCTTAATGTATGCATGGTACCATATGCACGTATTATTATTATTATTATTGCTGTCATTGTAGTTATTACGTAACGAACGAGTAATACATATAATATGTGAACGAAATTTCTACAAGAACACTATGATTTTCTACAAAATATTCCTCTATTTTATAAATGTCTACTACTGATATGAAGAAATCCTTCACGAGCCACCGCATCGTTACAATAAATATAAACGTGTGTACAACGCTTGGTAAAAAGAAATAATAATATACTGATAGAGGCAATGACGAAATTTGTAGAAGAACAGCAAGTATTCCTCAATTTTACTTCATCATACATAGAAGAAACTACAATCTCATCTTTTAAGAGTAAGTATTGATACTGAAATACAATATTCATATGAGAACATTAAATAATTCTATGGTGTATTAAAGTGGTGCTAGGAAAAGTTTTGTCTTCGCAGGAGAAAACAAAAATAGATGCATATCACGATGCACGATTCTCTATTCGAGAAATTGCAAAAGAAAATCAATAGATCTAGTGCTTGTGTACATAATCACTTAAAGTTTGGTATTGAATATGGCAAAAACCACTATAGTGGAGGCAATAGAAAATTAACCAGGCGTGATCATTCTCGAATTTTTAAAGAAATAATAAATAATAATACAACTGCGGTAGTATCAGTTACTAATTTTTCAATATAATTCTCTGAGACTTCAAAAGACTGTTCTTATACAAATTTCGCCATATTTTCGTGTGTTGAACTGTAATATCTTGTTTACGATAAAAATAAACTATTTTCTCCAAATCTATATATGTATTACGTTTCCAGCTTCTATTACACCTTAATTATTTTCTAGCATTCCAAAAATCGTAGTGTTCTTATAGAAATTTCGTTCACATAGAAGAAACGAAAGAATCGTGTAAACTAGCAGGTCAGAGTTAAATTATTCTTCAATACTTTACAAAAATGGCGACAAATAAATTGCAATTGTTGATTAGGTCGGTTGCATATTATTCGAACGAACATTGTATAAAAATGGGAAACAATAACATTAAGGAGCTAGAGAGTGCAATAAGATACGAATTTAATAAAATTAAAAAAACACCATTACAGAGACTAATTAATAGTATGAAAAACAGAATATTTGATATAATTAAAAACAAGGGCGGTAGTATCAATTACTAATTTTTCAATTTAATTCTTTGAGACAAATTTTAAAGACTGTTCTTCTACAAATTTCGCCATATTTCCGTTTGTTAAACTGTAATATCTTGTTCACGATAAAACAAACTATTTTCTCCAGATCTATATATTACTTCTCCAGCTTCCATTACATCTTAATCATTTCCTAGCATTCCTATCATTAAAATTATTTAAATTTTTATTAAAAACCACAGTGTTCTTATAGAAATTTCGTGTAGGAAATAAGAAATACTCACTGTTTCTGTAGCTCTCTGACATCGATGCATACTGCGTCCCATGGTGGTGACCCGATATCTGCCCTAATACTTCCAGATTCCTCGATTGCCGTCCTGTAAAAGGCAAAAAGGAGGGGGAGCATTAATGACTGGGCCACGATGAATCGTAACGGTAAATTAAGCGCTCTCGTGGATAAAAGGATGCTTTCGACGGTTCTACGTCCTTGCCCCTCTTCTTATTAAAACGGACGATTTTCGGTTGCATTTAAATGAATCTTTGTTTCGATAAGGAGCTCCTAATGAAGCCAGCCGATATTTTTTATAAAGAACGAAAATTTCCGGGTACCTCGTCACAAACATTTTGGTCCAACAAACCCTCCTCGATGAAGGGAAGCGATCAATGTTGGATATTAATCGGTTGATTCCGGTAGTTGACTGAAAGAACCAATTAAGGGATCCTCGAATAATCAAGGGATCGAAGTTAATATAAAAATATTAATTTTCTTCTCAATTGTCAGCCACGAACTCGGTAATTAAAAAAGCATTTATCCGTTGTACGAAATTAATGCTAGAATGTTTTAAAAATTCAATCTTCCGACTTCTTTGTTGGAACGTTAATTGCTCATAATTGGTTTCAACTTTGGCTAGAACTTTGCACGGTTGTATTATAACGTACATCAAAAGAGATACGTTTATTGCAAATAATAAGGTACAGTGTTTCGTCGGTCGTGCAAAGCGCTAAAATGGTAATTTAAAGTTGGAAATCATGGCAACCTACTGTTCGGAGTTCAGCAGTGTTCCGCGCTGACAACTGCGGAAAGTAATTTTCGTAACCGGGACGGGCAATAGGTCTTTTCCAAGCTAAAGTAAAAGAAATTACAAGTAGTAGATGAAAATGTTCTATGGCGCAGTAACAACTAACTTCCTGTGATTTTATTCTTTTTACAGCCGCGGCGATACACGTGCAAAGTGCACCGGAACTTTCTGAATCACGATATATTCCTCATCGCTCAGAATTTAGATTAGATTGTAAAACAGCCTTATTCGCTGAAACTCGCCCTTTCACCCTGCTGGATACCTTCTATGTATATTTAGTTCTCATTTCCAAACTCGCCAAATAAAAGAAAAATATTTAAATATTAATAATAAAAGTTACGTGATAAAAATTTGCTTGAAAAGACTGCGTTTATTTCAAATATATATTGAAACGGTATCAAATATTGTCAATCATTATTATTATTATCAGAAGCCCAACTTCCTCAGTTGCTATTTTTATATTTTATACAATTTCCAGCAACCCCTGAACTTAAATTAGAAAACATCCGATGGTGAATTTCGTTCTCAAGCAATATCGAGTAATGGTACTTAGCATGGGAATAGTTCTTTTAATTCCAGAAAAATCACGGTAACCACGTTCTAATTTTGCAATTTGCATAAGCGAGGAGGAATCCTCGAGTACAAAGCCGTCAAGTGTAACGAAAATTAAATTCCACGTTTTCAGCGAAACGCGAAGTCAAAAATAAGCGGGACCCGGGGCTCATTAAATTGCCGCTTTTAGAAACTGAAGAGTCCCACTCGACTTGAAGCATAACAACTGTCAGAACTTACACGCTCGCGTTCTGCGTAATTAACTGAATATGGCGCAATCGTTATTATTAATCTCTTTAGAGAATCACGGAATTTTTTCGCTCTCGATTAAAAGCAATCTTTCCTTCACTCACGTACGAGTGGTACTTCTCCTTTGATAATCGAATAACGAGTTCTTCGCTTCGTTTTAAAATTCTCCCGAAACTCCGTAATTATAGAAACTATACATTTGGTTGCTAGACAATCGCTTCCACTTACTTTTCAATTATCGAAATATTAACAGCCTGTCGCTTTGCAAGTGATATAAACCTTTAAACGTTTTTAATCCTGAAGCTTGATGACTCATAAAACTCGTATCGTCCACGAAACTCAAGTTTAAAGGGTAAGTTACTATTTCACGAAGTTATATTTAAATCAATAAGGACAAGATTATGAGTCCCCAATGGAAAAACTTTCTTCTTAATCGCTTCCATTTACGTGTCGGCAATTAGGAAACTTTGCTATCTTACATTATCATTTATTTCCGTCCCGTTAATTCGTAATTACAAAACCTGAGTAAACGTCGAAAACGATCCTTATATTACCTCTACATAGAAAAGCGACTCTTTAAATTACTATTGCGTTTCCCGTTCTTGTAGACGACAATTAATCGCGTACAAAACTCGTTATAACAGGACGATACTAAGGTTCGAATCAGACCTGCGTTGTATATAGGTTGGGCACTATGTTGGGAAGATTAGATTAATTCCACTGGGTCGTGTAAAATAGGATTTGTGTTAGACGTGTGTTAGGTACATTAGACGAATAAGGTGCGAGTTAAGTAGATTGTAATTGGGAGAAGTAAATTAGAAATGGTTGATCTATGCTGTACAACTAAATTAGGTTGGCATTGAATAAGTATGTTAGTGTTTGGAGACCATTATTTCGAGCAAAATTGTGCTGAATACATTATAAAACCCATCTGTATTTAATTTTAGACATGTTTGGATTTCATGTGAGTATGTTGGAAGACTCGGAACATCCACGCTTTTTATCTTTCTCGACTCAAAACAGATTTAATTTTCTCCCGAGTCTCTTTTTCCGAATTATTTCCGCGACTTTTCCAGGGACCCAGTTACCTCGAAGCGTTCTCTTTTTCGGTCGGGAGCGACGGTTTCCAAAAAGTTAGGATACCAGCGGTTTAAATGGTTAATGGCCACGGGGAATCGATCGCCGCCGTCTATCGGTTGGCAAATTACGTCAGAGACACGTCGCCGTTCGAAAGTTTCGTTGAAATTCAAGAAACTCGAAACACCGCTTGCAGGAAGGGGTACGGAAACAATGACGTTCGCGTTTACCTGTGTAGCGCGCGGTGGCCGTATTTTTGAAGGCGCCTTTGTGCTCTTCGCTTTCAAATTTTCAGCTACGCTTGAACTTGGGTAACTGAATTCTATTGGTCGCCGCGAGCCGTGCCCGCATTCACCCGCCGCCTACGCCATACTCTTAAGAAAGCTTTCATTGTTGGAATTCTAGCGCGAACTATATTTCCTCTTCTTTTCACCTGTTCGCCAGTTTCGCGTTGCCCGAGTGCTCTCTCGCGGCGCGCGTACCCTCTTCCCGACGAAACCCGCCATTCCGCAGGGTGCTGCGTTTATTTAGGACGTGGTCTCATCATGAAACGATAATATCACGGGCCGACCAGCCAACGATTAATGGAGCAATCTCGGCTGTGACTGATGTTATACGCAATTGGGAAACAGCTTCTGGCTTTTCATCGGCTACGGACGTATGCGTCGCGCGTGGAATTACCTGGCTTCCACGGTCCGTCCAATCTATTCAACGCCGTAAAATTTACTTTACTACTTATTGCTTGGTGTTCAGAGAACAATGATACTGCACTCGCGTTTATTTTCCAAGAAGTGTCGCCGTACTTTACATCAGTCGCGGGCAAAATTTCGTTCGAATAACAGGCAACCGACTTAATCAACTGTTGCAATTTATTTGTTACCATTTTTGTAAAATATTTGAAGCACAATTTAAGTCTGACCTGCTAGTTTATTTGATTCTTTCGTTTCTCGAGTGTTGACGAAACTTCTATAAGAACACTATAATTTTTAAGAACAATTTAAATAATTTTTATGATATAATGAAAGGAAAACTAGGAAATAATTAAGGTGTAATAAAAGACGGAAAATTCTGGGTCTTCGGCAACCCCTGGGAAAAATTTATATGAGAAATTCTAGAGGCCAAAATAAGACGAAAATCAAGAATATCAATTTGTTGATTGAGGTCTCGTTAAAAAAATTATTAAAAAATTAAATTAAAAAATTTCAAATCATTCACGGAAAAATTAGTTTTGGTTGCAGGGGTAAATTACAATCATTTTTGATGAATTGACACACCCCAAAATAATACGAACTTTCGAGAAAGAAATTAGAGTAGATGCTTTCGAAAAAAATTTCAAATCGTTCTCAAACAATTATTTTTGGCTGCAGGAGTTAATTACAATCATTTTTTGTGAATACACACACCCCCGAAATCCCACCCACTTTCGAGAAAAAAATTTCTGACCGAAAATCTAACGTGAGGCTAGAAATGCACCCCCGAAATTTCATGCAAATCTTTAAAATGTCATAACTTCTGAACGGATTGGTGGATTTTAATGTTTCAAACGCCAAACAACGCGTATTTTAATGAAGAATATACAGAAATTCTAACAATATTGAAAAAGTTGTACCTTGACTCCGTAAAATGAGAAAAACTTAAAAAAAATGGTCCAATTTTCAAACAGCCATAACTCTTACAATAATGACTATATTTCAATGAAACTTTTTTCTGAAGTAGAGCTCATGGATACCTACAAAAAAGTATTAGACAACTTTTCTGTAGAGCGCCAAACAAAATGGCTAAAAATGAAAAACGAATTTTTAAAAAAAATCGACAAGGGGTGCCTAAATTTTTCGGCGAAAAAAAAATCTTCATATCGTTCCAGAAAAATTATTTTCAGTCATGGAGGTCAATTACAATCATTTTTTATGAATACACGTACCTTCGAAATCCTACGTACTTTCGAGACAAAAATTCAGGAAGGTGGACAAATTTGTTGACAAAATTAAAAAATTTCAAATCGTTCTGGAAAAATTATCCTGTATAGATCTAGAGAAAATAGTTTATTTTTATCGTAAACAAGGTATTACAGTTTAACACACGGAAATATGGCGCAATTTGTATAAGAGCAGTCGTTTAAATTTGCCTTAGAGAATTAAATTGAAAAATTAGTAACTGGTACTACCGTCTTTGATCTTCATTGTATCAAATATCCTATTTTTCATACTATTAATTAGTTTCGGTTGTTCTTTGAATTTTATTCCATTCTGTAGCAACGATTTGAATATTCGCGCAATTAGAAAAGAAATGCGTGCGCGCGCGCGAGAGAAGGAAAGAAAGAGAGAGCGTGTGCGCGAGGTGTATAAATAATCCGCGAGCGAGCGGGCTCGTTCTTCTTCTTCTTCTTCTTCTTCTTCTTCTTCTTCCTGTTTTCTCCTCGC